CCTTGGTATCGACTTTGTGTTGAACGGCATATCCTGCAGCAGTTCTCTCGAAGCAGAAGACGGCATTATAGGCCCCCTGTCGAAAAGTGGCGAAGATGCGGGCTGGAGACAAGCAGCAGTTAAGCACGTAGACACAGCGGACGTAGTCAGCATTAACGGCGCGCCCTCTTCAACAGGCTGTTCGTCAGGAGTTGGGTCCGGGACAGAGGATGAATGGCAAGAACGGCGAGCCTCCATGATGATCTTTCTAGCTTTACCCTTAGACAAAGGGATGGTTTCTGAGCGAATGTAGTCTAGAATAAATTAACGACGTCGTGTTTGCAAATATGGCGATTTTGTGTCACAACTGTTGGTTCTATTTATGTCTCGGTGCTCCAAAGTTCGGTGCTCCGTAGTTTCTCCCTTCAATCAGCTTGTTTTGAGATCGCCGGTACCAATCTTCATTGTCTAGTCGAAGAAGGCAGTGGGAGACAAGGTGCTTGACGAGGCAGTAATGCCACTTGACTTGGTCTTGTATGTGGGCAATATGTAGCGCATCCGCGTTGATTGTATTATTTAAATCTTTAGGATTATGGTACGGTTTACGGGACGTTCGTAAACTAATTTACATTTAGCAATCAGTGCAGACTTTTAATTTACTAATATCACTTTCCAATTTGCATCCTGCAACACAAGCTTCCTCTACGTTACACAATAACTGAGGAATTCGGAAAATGCACTAGATTCTCCCCAAGAACCTCACGATTTCGGAATAAATTCACCAAATCACAGTCGGATTTCTATTCCGAAGTAGATTAGCCTAATCGTTCTCTAGTGTCCAGGGCAATAAGTCCAGCAAGGGCACAGTGCCCTTGCTGGACTTATTCAGACGTAAATTTACCAAACAGATAGTATATTTAGTTTCCTACCTCTTGATAGTAATAATAGTCTATAATTTATCACTAAGTACAATCTGGAGGTTAGAGGTGATTTTGACTTGGGCTTGTAAGCTGACGGTCAGCGGGATACCTCCTTAACTAGACGGAATCATTATTTGGGATATCAGTCCAAAGAGGACTGTCTGTATCGATGACATTCAAGGATTATGATTGCTTCACGTACGTGATCACGACTATCCTCTGAATCACCGGTAACTCGCTCATTTCGCAACTGTCTCGTCAGTGCGCACACAGAACCATTCAAAGAGCTTTATCTACAGCAAACAACAGCGGCCTCATGAAGCGCCTCTTCATTTTCGTGATTCTTTCAGCGGCTTTCCTGGCAATCGGCGAGCCCGCTGGGGAACCAGGGTACAGAAACAACAAACTCACCGACACTCCATACCAGAGGCATTTGAGAGCCACGAGAGCGACGGACAACGACGCTGCCGCTGAAGAGAGAAGGCTCCAGACAAGTTTGTATGGCAAGCTGGGTAAGGCTGCGACGAAGTTGCTCATGCCCGAAAAAGTGAAGTTTGTGATCTGGAGGAAGGCGGGTTGGGATTACAACATTCTCAAACAACAACTGTTCAAGGGAGTACCGAAGGAAGTTTACGAGAAGGACCCTAGGTTTGAAAAGGTCTTGCTCAGGTTTGGCGCATACATGAGGTCGGTATAATGGTTACCAGATTTAGGTCGTAGCTAATCACGCCTTTTATCTTCCCTCTGCGAAAGCGATGCTTGAATTTCTTAATTGAGCGTGGTCATAGCACTTTAAGCATTGCGATACGCACGCGTCCTCTGTGAGGCCGACGAGCATTTAAGCTACTGGCACTGTCCACGGCGTACTAAGCGATTTGAAGAGTGGGCCTTACGATGCCTTGAGCTGTCTTGGAACGTTATTGATTTTAAAGTTACACCTATTGTAACATCGAATCTTTAGCCAACCTCATGTGTGTAACGTTAACTTTGTAGCACTGCTAATTTTACTACTTGTCTAGAAAATCCATTATCCCGCCTA